TTTTTCCCAGCCAAACCTTCCTCAATGTGACCTCATTCTGTTGATTCCCAAAATATTAGAGACAGTCACATTCAAATTAAACAGAAAAGGATTTTTTCAAAGCCAAGTAAGAATAATTTTTAAAAAATGATCTCTGCCACATTTTCCCTCCACTAATAACAACAACATGTATTGAGCAAGAACTTGGTAAAGCCCTTTACACATATTTCATCTTATTTAAACCTCATAAAGCCCTGTGAGGGACCTCAACTATGGGGAAATCAAGGAATTTTCTCAAAGCCACATAGCTAATAAGTGGCTCTCTTAACCACTGCATTCTGCTAATTAATATGGATAACGGAATATGGCCCAGGAAAAGTAAGCAACAAGAGTGATCCATGACTCATGTAATCAATTAACTTTTTATATTTCATAAGTATTTTTTAAATGTTTCATTTTGGAAAAACTCAAACATGTATAAAGTAAATATAACAGAACCCTCATATACCCATCACACAATTTTAACAATTACCAATATCTTGCCATTGTTGCGTCATATTTACCTTTACCTACTCAATTACTTTTTTGCAGTTTCTTTTTAAGTAAAATATATACATTGACTTGTACAAATCTCAGCTGTACAGTTTGACAAATGGTCACACACATGTGATCTGTAGTCCTCTTGTGACTCAAAATATTCCCATCTCAAATACAAGCTTCCAAGACAGACCAAGGAAGAAACAGAAAACCTAAACAGACCAATTACCAGCAAAGAAATTGAATCGGTAATCAAAAAGCTACCCAAGAACAAAACCCCTGGTCCAGATGGATTTACTGCAGAATTTTATCAGACATATAGAGAAGGCATAATACCCATTCTCCTTAAAGTTTTCCAAAAAATAGAAGAGGAGGGAATACTCCCAAACTCATTCTATGAAGCCAGCATCACTCTAATACCAAAACCAGGAGAAGACCCCACCAAAAAAGAAAATTACAGACCAATATCCCTGATGAACATAGATGCAAAAATACTCAACAAAATATTAGCAAACTGAATTCAAAAATACATTAAGAGGATCATACACCATGAACAAGTGGGATTCATCCCAGGGATGCAAGGATGGTACAACATTTGAAAATCCATCAACATCATACATCACATCAACAAAAAGGACAGAAACCACATGATCATTTCCTTAGATGCTGAAAAAGCATTCAACAAAATTCAACATCCATTCATGATAAAAACTCTCAACAAAATGGGTATACAGGGTAAGTACCTCAATATAATAAAGGCCATATACGACAAACCCCCAGAAAACATCATACTTAACAGTGAGAAGCTGAAAGCCTTTCCTCTAAGATCGGGAACAAGACAGGGATGCCCACTCTCCCCACTGTTATTCAACATAGTACTGTAGGTCCTAGCCATGGCAATCAGACAACACAAAGAAATACAAGGCATCCAGATTGGTAAAGAAGAAGTCAAACTGTCACTATTTGCAGATAACATGATATTGTACATAAAAAACCCTAAAGAATCCATTCCAAAAATACTACAACTAATATCTGAATTCAGCAAAGTTGCAGGATACAATATTAATTCACAGAAATCTATTGCCTTCCTATACACTAACAATGTACTAACAGGAAGATAAATCAGGAAAACAATTCCATTCACAATCGCATAAAAAAAATACCTAGGAATAAACCTAACCAAGAAAGTGAATGATCTATACCCTGAAAACTACAAGACATTCTTAAGAAAATTAAAGAGGACACTAACAAATGGAAACTCATTCCATGCTCTTGGCTAGGAAGAATTAATATTGTTAAAATGGCCATCCTGCCTAAATCAATCTACAGAATCAATGCAATGACTATCAAAATACCAACAACATTCTTCAACGAACTGGAACAAATAGTTCAAAAATTCATTTGGAAACACCAAAGACCCCAAATAGCCAAAGCAATCCTGAGAAGGAAGAATAAAGTGGGGGGGGGGATCTCACTCCTCAACTTCAAGCTCTACTACAAAGCCACAGTCATCAAGACAATTTGGTACTAGCACAAGAACAGAGCCACAGACCAGTGGAACAGAATAGAGACTCCAGACATTAACCCAAACATATATGGTCAATTAATATACGCTAAAGGAGCCATGGACATACAGTGGGGAAATGACAGCCTCTTCAACAGCTGGTGTTGGCAAAACTGGACAGCTACATGTAAGAGAATGAAACTGGATCACTGTCTAACCCCATACACAAAAGTAAATTTGAAATGGATCAAAGACCTGAATGTAAGTCATGAAACCATAAAACTCTTAGAGAAAAACATAGGCATAAATCTCTTGGACATAAACATAAGCAACTTCTTCATGAGCATATCTCCCTGGGTATGGGAAACAAAAGCAAAAATGAACAAGTGGGACTATATCAAGCTGAAAAGCTTCTGTACAGCAAAGGACACCACCAATAGAACAAAAAGGCATCCTACAATATGGGAGAATATATTCTTAAATGACATATCCAATAAAGGGTTGACATCCAAAATATACAAAGAGCTTACATACCTCAACAAACAAAAAGCAAATAATCCAATAAAAAAATGGTTAGAGGAACTGAACAGACAGTTCTCCAAAGAATAAATTCAGATGGCCAACAGACACATGAAAAGATGCTCCACATCGCTAGTCATCAGAGAAATGCAAATTAAAACCACAATGAGATATCACCTCACACCAGTAAGGATCACTGCCATCCAAAAGACAAACAACAGCAAATGTTGGCAAGGTTGTGGAGAAGGGAACCCTCCTACACTGCTGGTGGGAATGTAAACTAGTTCAACCATTGTGGAAAGTCCCTCTGTTGGAAAGCAGTATGGAGGTTCCTCAAAAAGCTCAAAATAGAAATACCATTTGACCCAGCAATTCCACTCCTAGGAATTTACCCTAAGAATGCACAGCCCAGCTTAAAAAAGACATATGGACCCCTATGTTTATCGCAGCACTGTTTACCATAGCCAAGAAATGTAAGCAACCTAAGTGTCCATCAGTAGTTGAATGGATAAAGAAAAGGTGGTACATATACACAATGGAATATTATTCATTCATAAGAAGAAAACAAATCCTACCATTTGCAACAACATGGATGGAGCTAGAGGGTATTATACTCAGTGAAATAAGCCAGGTGGAGAAAGACAAGTACCAAATGATTTCACTCATATGTGGAGTATAAGAACAAAGAAAAAACTGAAGGAACAAAACAGCAGCAGAATCACAGAACACAAGAATGGACTAACAGTTACCAAAGAGAAAGGGACTGGGGAGGATGGGTGGTAAGGGAGGGATAAGGGGTGCGGGAAAGGAAGGGGGCCTTATGATTAGCATGTATAATGTGGGGGGGGCATGGGGAGGGCTGTGCAGCACAGAGAAGACAAAGTAGTGACTCTATAGCATCTTACTACACTGATGGACAGTGACTGTAATGGCATATGTGGGGGAGACTTGGTGATGGGAGGAGTGTAGTAAACATAATGTTCCTCATGTAATTGTAGATTAATGATACCAAAATAAAAAATTTTTTAAAATTAAAAAAAAATTCCCATTTCCACAGAAAATGCTTCCCTGTCCCTTACCAGCCAATCCTCCCCATCCCCAGTGGTGACCACTGCTACTTTTTTCAGGTTTTCCACCTTAGTTTTGTCTCTTCTAGACTTCGTATAAATGGAGTCACTTAGTATGTCCTCTGGTATCTGGCTGCTTCCGCTCAGCACATTTTTGACATTTGTCCAATGTTGTTGAAGGTATTGGTAGTTCATTCCTTGTATGAATACACCACCATTGGTCTATCCATTGGGATATTTCTGTTCTGGAGCTACTACGGGTACAATTACTATGAACATTCTCGTACAAGCTTTTTTGTGAACACGGGGCTCATTTCTCTTAGGAGTGGAGGTTCTAAGTCAAAGGGTAGGTGTATGTTTGATTTTTATGTGAAGCTGCTAAACCTTTTTCCAAAGTGAATATGAACTATTTTATATTTCCGCTAGCTCTGTGTAAGACTTGTTACAGTCTCACCAACATCTGATGTCTGTCTTTTTAATTTTAGCCATTCTGATGGTGTTCAGTACTGGTTCATTACGGTGTTAATGTGCACGTCTCTAATGACGAATGATGTTGAGCATTCCTTTTATGTGCTTGCTGACCATTCAGATATCTTCCTTTGTTAAATGCTGGTTTAAGATTTTTGTCCATCTTTCAAAAAGTGGGCTGTCTTTACAATTGAATTCTTCACATATTCTGGATACAAGTCCTTTATATACAATTTGCCACTGTCTCCTTTCAGGCTATGAATTGCTTAGTTATTTTCTGAATAGTGTTTCTGAGACAGAAATATTTATTTTTGAAGAAACTAACTGATTAATTTTTTTACAGTTATTGCTTTCTGAATTCTATCTAAAAAATGGTTGCCCACTCCCAGTTCTTGAATGTATTCTCTTATGTTAACTTTTATGTTGAGATCTAGAACCCATCTTAAGTTTTGTATATATTTTTATAAGGTATTGGTTGAGGTTCATTTTTTTACATGTGGTTACCCAGTTATTTCTATACCATTTGTTGAAAATACTATTGTTCCCCCATTGAACTAACTGCCTTGCCTCTTTAACAAACATCAACTGACTATATAAGAAAGATGGGTTTCTAGACTCTGTTCTGCCTGTAAATGATGCATTTCTTTCCTTCTTCTCTCATACTGTTTTGATTATTGTAGCTTTATATTGTAAATCTTGAGTCAGATAACGTAAGTCCTCTAACTTTATTTTCTTCTTAAAGATTGTTTTGACAAGTCTAGGTCCTTTGGATTTCTGTATAGACTTTAGAATCATCTTGCCAATTTCTACATTAAAAAGCCCATGGGATCATGATTGAGGTTGTACTGAATCTCTACATTACTTTTGGGAGAACTGACATTTTAACAATATTGAGACTTCCAATCCATGAGTATGGTATCTCTTACCATTTGTTGGAATCTTCTTTTTGGCAAGACACAGCCTCTATTTACCTGACAAAAACAAAGTTATACATTTTTTTAAAAAACAGCTTAGTTGAGACATAACATACACAAAAAAAGTGTACTTATTTGATGTACGATAGTTGATGAGTCAGGTCATGTACCTTTAACTCATGACACCATATTGAAATCTTTAAAAGAAAAAATGTTCTCAGCAATATCTTATTCCAAGGCTAAAGATGCTTTCTATTCCATTCGACCCTACTCAAAAACTTAATAGCTATTGCACTATTTTAGTCAGAGATTACCTCAAATAATAGCAATAATTCCAAACAGGGAAAAGTGCATTCCCAAAAATGTAATTAAAGGAAATATGTATGAGCTAATCAAGCAAGACAGCCACTGCTGTGTTAAAATATATTTTTGTTTATTTTCTTGGTGTATACATTTCTTTCTAGCAGTGTGTGAAGGGGATGGTCACACAGTCTACCTGAGAGTAGGGGAGATTAGTCATAAGATTTGAGGCCCTAAAGTGTTAGACAACATAAATTAAAAAAAAAAATAAATATGTAGATGCTGGCTGAAAGATAATGGAAAGTGGAAACTCCAGTTGCCTAATGACAGCACAAGACAGCCTCTCTCATTAACTTCTTAAAACAGTTAAGTGTGATTTGTTAAAGTCAAAGAACATCGGCTTGAGTGACGAAAGTCAAAGAACAGTGGCTGGAGTGACGTGTGATACCTTGCACTCTGGTGTCACATGTCAACTCTCTCAATAAGTGAGAGAGGAGTTCTGTAATAGAAAAGGGAAAACTCTAAGCAGGGAACTAAGGGAGTATGAGTTCGGCCTAACTCCCTCATGTTTTATGGGACTAACATCCATCATGGAATGGCCAAGTCCTGTGTGGTCAAATTAATGGCATTAATGAGGCATTACTGAGATACAAATTTTGTGTTATCTAGGCACATCTTTTCCTTTGTGAATAAAATATTGCTTTAGAGATAATGGAACCAAATTTTAAAACTATTTTTCCCTACCATGTAGTAAAGATGATTTTGGCTAGAAACAGGAGTTTAGAGGACAAATGTCAATCTTCAGCAATTTTAAATAATCCTTGAAATATATGAATGGAACTATTAAAATGTGCAGTTCTTATCAGAGTTATCCCAGCTTCAATGATAGAGCCCACATTTTAAATATATGTGCTAATATTTAAATGTGTACAATCAACTCCAATTAGAATCTTTACAAATCATAACAAATCCCAGAGGAGGGGTGTGTGTGTGTGTTGGAGATAGAGGTGAGGATCACAGAAAGAAAATCCTCTAGTTAGATGTTTTTCAGCACTGTAGTCTTTTCATTCTTCCCTTAAAAGAAAGATTGGGGATTAGACAGACAATACCTTTAAAAAAATGTTGCTAGGCCTGGGGAAGTATGTGCTGCTGTTATTTTAAAATAACCACCAAAGGGCTGGGTCTTGGTCATACACATCTATGGATTACTCATGCTTATTCCCAGGGCCTCTCCCTGGCACAGCTGTGGAATAGACAAAAATTATCTTTAGATTCTACAGCTTCCCCTTCTGTGCCATGGTCCTCCTCTCTTCTGATTCCATCCAAGGTGCTCAATGCCTCATGCTGTCCAGGGTAGCACCACACCCAAGCCTGCCCTTCTTGGATTGTGGCTTTGTCTTTTAAGTTGTGCTTCTCCCTCTCTCTCCCTCTACTTCTTCCCAAGCCTCCAATAAAGTTGGAGTTAACATTCCCTTCTTCTCAGCTAATCAACTGGGAGGGGAAAAATATTGTAAATGAATTCATACTTGGCATTTAAGTGATTAATATGTTTTTATTCCTCCCATGTGTACTGGCATTCTAAAAGCCTGTTAAACTAAAGGAATATATTCCTTAGGAGGAAATCTCAATCAGTAGGATATACAACAAAGAAAATCTGGAGAGGTCTGGTTTCCTTCCAAACTATACAAGTACCATCACCCTGGCAGAGTCCTTCATAAGGCCAGGCCTCATTATCCCTAATAGATGTAAAGTCTCTACCCAGTGACTCTTGCACAAAGGGCTGGTGGAAAATTCTGCAGATGCAAACCCATTGAAAGGTGAAATGTACTTCTAAAAGTGACACAATTCTAAGTTTCTTCTTCTCAATGTGAGATAAAACTGAATGATCAAGAAGGATGCTGAGACCATTCAATGGGGAAAGACAATCTTTTCAACAAGTGGTGTTGGGAAAATTGGATGTCAACATACAAAGAATGAAATTGGACCCATACCTTACACCATATACCAAAATTAATTCAAAGTGGATCAAAAACTTATATGTGAGACCTAAAACTATAAAACTCTTCAAAGAAAACATAGGGGAAAAGCGTCATGACATTAGATTTGGCAATTAATTCTATGATATGATACCAAAGTACAAACAACAAAAGAAAAATATAGATAAATTGAATTTTATCAAAATTTAAAACTTTTGTGTATCAAAGGATATTATCATCAGAATGAAAAGGCAACCTACTAAGAGGAAATATTTGCAAATCATTTATTTCATAAAGGACTAATATCCAGAATATATAAAGAACTCCTACAACTCAACAACAAAAAAAACCAAACAACCCAATCTAAAAACAGGCAAAGGATTTGAGCATTTCTCCAAAGACAAAACACAAATGACAATAACAAGTGTTGGTGAGGATGTGGAGAAACTGGAACTCCTGTGCACTGTTGGTGGGAATGTAGAATGGTGTAGCCACTGTGGAAAACATATGATGGTTCCTCAAAAATTTTTAAATATAATTACCAAATTATCCAGCAATGCCAATTCTAGTATATACCCAAAAGAACAGAAAGCAGGGACTCAAATATGTTTGTATATCCATGTTCACAGCAGCGCTATTCACGGTAGCCAAAAGATGGAAGCAACCCAAGTGCCCACTGACAGATGAATGTGTAAACAAAATGTGGTCTATACATACAATGGAATGTTAGCCTTGAAATGCAAGGAAATTTTGACACATACTGTAACATGAATGAACCTTGAAGACACCATCTAAGTGAAATAAGCCACTTGCAAAAAGACAAATACTATGTTATTCCATTTTTATGAGGTGCCTAGAATACCTCACAGAGTACAGAAATTCATTGAGAAGGGAAGTAGAATGCTGATTTCCAGGGACTAAGGAGAGGGGGAAATGGGGAGTTAGCATTAAATGGATATAGAGTTTCAGTGTAGGATAATGGAAAAGTTCTGGAAATGGATGGTGATGAACGTGAATACACTTTAATGATACTGAATTGTATACTCAAGAAGGGTTAACATGGTTTATGCTATGTATATTTTATCACAATTTTTAAAAACCTGAATAAGCTTTTGAGGTGATTATCACACAAGGACAAGTTGCTAAACTCAAAATGTACTTCCAATTTTTAAAAATACATACAATTAGTAAAAGGTGATCTGATTCTTCCATTTTGATGCTGGGACATGCAACAATAAAGATTTTCAAGTCTTCCTGGATCCAGTTTAACAGGAAATTACTCTGCTGGACTGGGTGGGGAAGAACATAGTGGGCAGAAGGCCTAGAAGCTCTGGCCGCCCCTGCTGGCCCCCCACGGCATTCATGGCCACCCTCAGTGCTGAAGTCATGGGCCCTTGCATAGCACCCTAAATGTTGTATTATCTCCCAAGCACAAAAGTCTGCGAGGCCTTTTCCCCTCTCAGATAGCTGTACCGGAGCCCCTACTCCCCTCTCTGCAGTGGACAACCAGATTCAGTACATAAAACAAAGGTCTGCTTGACCAAACTTGAGTCAGGCTCCTTTGAGCCCTCTTCTCAGCCAGGCCTTGACCTCGGCTCTCATCTTTGCTGGGATTAAGTTCCTCATCCCTCAACGCTGATGTATATATTCTTGACCCTCCTTTGGCAAGAATCCTTTGAAATTTGTTTAGCAAGTCCCCCTGCCTCTCCTATCTCCTCCTAATAATTTCCCATTCACTGAGTCCCTCTGTTGGCTATTAATCCTCAGCTATCTTTCTTGAATTTAGAGTTGAGTCACATCTCTCCCCCAGTGCAATACTTTTACTAGAATAGTCCTGAATAAAGTCTTGCTTCCATTTTAACAAGTGTCAGAATAATTTTTTTCTTTAACATGTATCATCAGGAACATTTTAAGTTTAAAAAATTGTAGCATTTCAAAAGCAATAATCCCATGGGAGTCATAGTTACTGGCAAAGCAATCAATAATTTATCCAATCACCTAATTGTATTTTGATAGGTACAATCCAACGGTGGTGGAGCCCATAGGACCATAACCTTCTAAAAGGTGTAAAATGTAATGACCACATCTAAGCTGCCTTGGAAGAATGGAAAATAAACTATTTATGATGATTTAAAATGCAAAGCCTAAAGCCATGAAATACTGTGCAGGCTAACCAAACCCTAAAGCCATTTACCATCTCTACCAGTGTACCCCACCCCAGGCTCTACACACTTCTATCCACCCCTCCACCAACACAAACACCTGCTGCTCTTGTTGTGAAACAGGCATCAGTTAGCCACTTTTCCCTCCTACCCTGTAGGATCCTCAGACACCTCCCTTGGTCCTCAGGGCTGTACACTGGGCAGGGCGGGCAGCCTTCTCTGAGAAACTGGATCAAACTGCTGATGCTGCAGGTAACATGGCATTTGTAGCAATGCAACCCCGGCCGAGCTTAGAGGAGAAAACGCCCAGGATGTTGGAGTGTGTCTGTGTGCATGACTCATTGAAGGAGATGTGTCTCTGGGAGGAAGTGGGGAGTAGCATCTCTGAATTCCATTTAGGTACATTAAGGAGTGGAAAACCACTTGAAGCAGCAGGAAGACAAAGGCCAGAACTTATCCATGGACACAGGAGTGCTTTCTGAATTCAGCTGGTACAGACCCATTCAGAAGGAAACAATTTATTCCCTTTATGCAAGAGAAAGAAGTGTGTGCTTGTCCTTTGTCGAGGTGTCCCAGGGAAGTCCTGGTTGGTTCTGACTAACAGAAAACAAGTGCCTTT